ATAGTCACCCCTAGATATTTGAAAGTAGCTACTCTCTCAAATATGTGGCTTTTCATATATATTGATGTTGTTATCAGTGTGCGTATTTCCTGGCATTATCATAAAATAATATCTATTGCCCTCGATTTATTTACATCAAGACCATCTGTGATCTTGACATCTTCAAGTTCCCTGAAATTTTTAATTATAACATTGCTGTTCCTACGATATGCTATATCGTCTGTGAATGCCAGGTATTGCAGTGGCTGGCTTTAAAAAGTTTCTGTTGGTTGCTCTGTACTACCTCTCTGGTGCTCACACGTATGTTTCTAACTGGATTTTGAAAAGGATACATGGATTTGCTTGTCTGAGGCCCTGAATAATTGGGACTCCGTCGAGTACTATCTCTGTACTTTGATTCTAATTTTCGAGCTAGCCATCGTCATATGTATGAGTCGGATAAGTTTGTTAGGGACTCCAAGTTCCAGGAGAGCATCGTACAGGTATTTCCTGTAAATGCTATCATAAGTTGATTTTTGGTCCACATATATTTTGTGTATGTTGATGTATTCTTAGCATTTCTCCACGAGATATCTGATAGTGAATAAATGAAAGTCTGAAATGACCCTTCACACATTGTCTGAAAGATACACTGAATTTGCACCACAATGCATTTTGAATTTATTATTTTTACTCAAGACTCTTCAGATTCCTCAATTTTTTTCTACTTCCTTCCTTGACTCCGATCAGTGTGACTTAACGTGGTTAAATCTAATCTTGTTTCAAATGATTATCTAGAGTGCAGCACAAACAAAATGAAATTATTTTATATATGGCACTGAGCGCCATAATGCCTCCACTGACGCTTGAAAAATTAATTTCCCTAATCAAATATAGTCTTTTGGAGTATATCATGTATCCTCCAAAATGACCACATTGATTGCTAAACAATCACAAATTTTCTGGTTAGGAAAAGCCATTGGGGTGCTCGATTTCCGCCATAATTCCCGATAACAATGACAACCAATTATGGTGCTGATATATACACTGCCCAGCGGCGTGCCTAGTTTTAGCGCCAGTCTCGGTAGGTTAACTTTTTAGAAACTCTGATATTGTCCGAAAATCCCGCCACTCAATCTAAAGGGAAAAAAATGACACACGGGAAGACCAAATATTCCCCCCCCCCTTTCTACGTCACCGACGTGAGTCTTTGGTGCCAGAGGAAATATTCATTTTTACTCCCCCCCCCCTTTTTTTTTTCGCTAAACTCTGAAACCCATTATTTTCATCCATTAACACTGTAGCCGTATAGATCATTAGCTTCCCCCGCTAGTTTGGCGCCTGGGTACATATGCCCCCAATGCCCACCTTAGCTACGCCCTTTTCCCACTGNTACGGAGTTAACAAAAAAAGTCGGCACTTTTCCATAAGTATCAAAACCCAATCATTTTACACACTCAAAAATGGTAGTTTGAAACATGGAGGTGGGATAATACTTTCTTTCAAAACATGAAAATACATTTCGGTTTTTACTTTGCGAAAAGTAAAGCGGATGTGTCTATATTTATGAGATTAACAACTTTAAAAAAAAAAAAAAAGAAAAAAGACAGTCAAGTCTTTTATAGACTTGAAAAACGGTTGCGAGATTCTTCTTAACATGAACGATTTCTTTGTTTTACGATTTTACGACAATGTCTAATTAAAAAAACAAAAACAACAACAACAACGCCAAATTTGCTTAAATTTCTGATGTTGATATCAACTCATCAAATTCCGTTCATGGAAAATATATGTATAGAGTTTTTGTTGTAAAGTTATGAAGACAAAAAAATGTAGTTCAAGGGAACAAAAAGGTCTATGGTAGACCCAACATTTAACAATTTAAAAAATCACATGATATCTAAAGTATTTCTCTAACGTAAAAATTGTCTCTCAGTATACTTCTTTAATGATAATAACAAGATTTGTTAGTTTAAGGTCATGTTTAGAGGAAAAAATATCTAGTATAGGGGCGTGAAAGGGGGTAGGGTAGGCGTATTAAATCCATACTTCTCACAACATAAGTATATTAGAGATGTAAATATCATTACATAGATACTCCTTTTGTAAGTTAGGAATTCCGATGTGTTTTTGCACTAGCAGGTAGACATTATCGCAAAGGACCTACCATTAGTATCCATATAACCTCAGTTTATATATTATAATATACAGATAAGGCAAATCTTTTTAACATATCATCATCAAAACTTATTTCTTCCAATGCGCGCCATTTCTTTGCGTGTTTTAAAAGAGCTGGTTTGTTTGTAAGAAATATGCCAATGTTAATGTCAGCGCTTAATGAAACGAAAGAAAAGATCCTTTTCTCATGACCTTAAAATTATTCCGTCATCTATTTCTTTACAGTAACAGAGTTAGAACTTAGAAATAAGGAGAAAAATCTATCATTCCCTCGGACTGAAAGCTATTTCTCAATATTAATAAACAAGATACTTACAACAACAAAAATATGTAAGTAATTAATTTTAGATTTTGTTTTTAAAAATGCTTGCCATGTCACCAAGGACATCGAACTTCTTGGCTGCGATTCAGTTTGAAAATTGGAGGCTGTAATTTTGTAAATATATAAAAAGAAGTATTTATCATCTTTATTTCAGTAGGTAAGTAAACCTGTATCGTATCGTTTTTTGAATTTGTGGGCTAAAATTTTTTTTTCCCTGTGAAACCGGGGGGCCATATAGGAAATCTCAAAAGAAATATTTTAAAAATACTTTCTTTTAAAACAAGTTTATTTCATTAATACTTCTCACCCTATGTAAAAAGGAATGTAGGCCCAATTAAAATATCGGCACATACATAATCATATATCAAATTACAATATCGCCTAGTAAATAATCATATATCCAATAACAATATCGGCTCATCAAGACTATAAATAAAGCAAAATAAAAAACTAAAGCACTTCTACTTCAAAGCTAATAACACTGAGCATTCACCTATATATTTTAGCTCAAATGTTTCTCATAGTGAGACCATGGCTAGAAACTTTTACGGTGACCAAATAGCTACACGTCAAGTTAATTTTGGTTTCACAATGAATCCCTCCCCAAAACTTAAGTCATTAAGTCTGATACCACGCGGCGCCTTAAGTGTACAAGAAGTAGAAGGGGAAAAGAAAATGGTTCTCAATTTCATATCGACCCATTATCCTGAACAGTTGCACTAGTGATGTGCTTAGCAGCTTAACACATAAACTACAACTACCTGTGAAGCCCTAACCTGCATATCACTTGTATATCACTAGTAGTGACACATTCTTTAAAGCAGAGACGAGTAACTTATTAAATTTAAACAAAATGATTTTTAACTAATATTATTTGTTCCCCAATCTTATTTTCCATCAATAACGAGATCCTAAGTCTAAGACGTCTAGCGCCCCGTGACAAGATCCAGAGTCAAAGAGGTTTTGGTTTCAGTGACAAGATCCTGAGTCTAAGAGAGCTTAGTTCCGGTGACAAGATCCTGAGTCTAAGAGGTTCTGGTTCCAGTGACAAGATCCTAAGTCTAAGATGTTTTGCTACCAGTGACAAGATCCTGAGTCTAAGAGGTTTTGTCTCAAGTGACAAGATCCTGAGTCTAAGAGGTTTTGGTTCAAGTGACAAGATCCTGTGTCTAAGAGGTTTTGGTTCACGTGACAAGATCCTGAAGTTAAGAGAGTTTGGTTCCAGTGAGCTAATATTTTGCTTCCAACAATGCAGAAATTAACTGAACTTGTCGTTTGTCTCATTGTAATATTTGCCGTCAGCAAACAAGGTGAGAGATAATTTAAAACTGTTAACGCTTGACCCCAGTTGTAATGGATTCTGCTCATAAACAAATATTATTTTTAATAGAGCGAGTGTTGGTCGACCCTTTCCACAACATTAACAGTAAGGATGTGGCTTGGTAAAGAATAATTTGATGATGAATCATTAACTGTGAGCAAAAAAGTATACCATTATGTCAATGTGTGTGGTAAAATTGGAAAGGGCAAATTGTATACCATAATGTCTCTGTGTGTGATTAGATTAGAAGTGGCAAAAGGTACACAATAATGTCGCTGTCTGTGGTAAAATTAGAAGTGACAAGAGTATACCATAATGTCACTGTGTGTGGTAAGATTAGAAGTGACAAGAGTATACCATAATGTCACTGTGTGTGGTAAGATTAGAAGTGACAAGAGTATACCATAATGTCACTGTGTGTGGTAAGATTAGAAGTGACAAGAGTATACCATAATGTCACTGTGTGTGGTAAGATTAGAAGTGACAAGAGTATACCATAATGTCACTGTGTGTGGTAAGATTAGAAGTGACAAGAGTATACCATAATGTCACTGTGTGTGGAAAGATTAGAAATGTGGCCCATTGAACAAAAATAGTTTTCAGATTAGTTGGGTGCTGTCAATTAATTTTGCATCGCTCCATAAAATCCAGATAAAATTAAAACCGTGCTAAATGAGACTCCTAGAAACTATGCAACTGTAATTAATGCGTAAGATTTTCTTTTGTTTTACAGAATTCACCCCAAATTAGATGATACGTAATAACGGGTTGGGCTTTAAAATATTCATATAGTTCAGGAGCTGTGAAAAAAATAATTCGGGGGCGCACCTGGTGGGGGGGGGGCGGGGGCTTGTAATTGAGTCTTACTTAACCTTAAATTGCCTTACTAAAAATCGTTCAGGATATTAATAGAGTTAGAGATAATGTGCATTTAAATAACGAATACATTAATCCAATTTTCCTCACTAAATATGTTTAATTTTAAATAATATTTTTATATGAAGTTGTTTTTTTTTGTGTGGGTGAGTGTGGAGAAATAATAATAATAAAAAAAAAACAATAACAAGAAAAGCTTCTTTGTTTTTATTTTTATTACAGAATTAGTAATGCCCAGGCAAAGGGCGTTCATAGAGCATGTGGATTACAAGAAAAAAAGTTGCGGTAATGGTTATTTGGCAGATGTTGATTATATAATTATTACTGGCTTCATCAACGTCTCCGACATAGGACATCCGCCCCAGGAAGGAGAGATCTCTGGACTTTACTTCTCGAGGGATGGAATGGCTCCTGTAAGTTAAGTTAACATAAATATTTAGTTGATTTTTAAATTGATTTTCTGTGGTACCGTCTAATATCCCACTAGACTGCGTATTCTTTGTTTGCATCGGTATTTCCTTTTACAAAATTATAATCAAAGAGTTTCTGCCTAGCAAAGGCTGAGGTGAAAATTATTTATTGCAAATAAATCTATCGACTTCTAATTTTAATTTAGTTTTATTGGTCGTGACTCCCAGTGGAGCTATGCCAAAGAAGCAACCTAATTTGTAATAACTGTTAAGAGTCACCAAATGTTACCTTGTGTTGTTTTAAGTTGCTCTTATAGGTCCCCTGTTTTACTTTACGTACATTATCACAACACAATAACTAGCCAGGCTCTGCTGACGGACAAACTTCGGGTGAAAGAGGACGTTAAATGATTAGAGGGTGCCTTTTATGCTGAGTACAGGGAGGCGTGTCCCTTCATTCTCATATGCGTCGCTTGGGACGCTTGGCCAGAATGAGTGCATTGTTTAAGCTGGGTCATGGTAAAGGTGACCAGGCTAATTTCCATTGATCATTGAATCATTCTTATTAGTGTAAGGCCCAGCTTAATTTTGTAATATCACGTGGGGTAGCAATGGAGCGAGTGTGAGCCAGCGGGTCTCAAAAATAACTCTTGACTAAAACCTATACTAGTAGCTACCGAATTATCATCTCCTACCAAAATTCCAATTGTCATATCCTACTATATCTCGCATCGTAATCTACTACTAAATATCGCATTTTCATCCCCTATCAAATCTAGCATTTCAATCTATTACTAAATCACTAATTGCATCTCTAAATCTCGCATTGTCATCTCCTACTAAATCTAGCATTGGCATCTCCTACTTAATCTGGCTTTTGCATCTCCTACTTAATCTCGCATTGGCATCTCCTACTTAATCTCGCATTGGCATCTCCTACTTAATCTCGCATTGGCATCTCGTACTTAATCTCACATTGGCATCTCCTACTTAATCTCGCATTGGCATCTCCTACTTAATCTCGCATTGGCATCTCCTACTTAATCTCGCATTGGCATCTCCTACTTAATCTCGCATTGGCATCTCCTACTTAATCTCGCATTGCCATCTCCTACTATATCTCACATTGTCATATCCTACCAAATCTCGCATTGTCATATCCTACTAAACCGCGAATTGTCAACTTTCGTGTTTGCCATTTTACTTATTTCGTTCCCGAGTATGCGTCTGACTTTTGGAAGCCCCCTGACACATTTCGGTTTCATGCACCCCCACCCCTTCCATCTACATATAATAATAAATTAGTTATTTTTCCAATACGTATAATCTTTGGTCCAATGAAAAGAACGAGACCCACAACAGTGGCAAGGATGCAGGCCCCCACTTGACGCCCATGTTTCTGACTATAGTGGTTATTTTAATATTTACAAAACATTTTAAAAAGTGTTTGTCGTTTTTATAAATGACACAGGGCGCCAGGGCAAAACCTGGATTTAGCAAGGGCGAAAAATGTTTGACAAGGTTTGAGAACCACTTTTTGTTAACAGTTCGAATTTTTTAGAGTCGGGAATAAATTTTACAAATCTAACTTTTAAAAATTATGATAAAATATTTTTAATCCATAAACCCATTGCCTTTTTTTTTGGTCCTCTTCATAAACACAACTATTGATTTGCTCTTAAGTCGAACTGTTGCTGGCGTGATTTTCTGGTTACTGTGATCATAACACTAGTGGTTAAATTGCCGGTGAAAAACGAAAAAAAACACCCATTCACACAGTTTTCATATTTGCAACATTTTTGAAGGCCATTTAAGAAACATAGCAAGATTTATTATTATGATTATTATCATCATTTTATTATTATAATTTTAATATTATCATATCGTTATTATGATTTTATTATTATCAATGCAATACGAGAATCTAACAAAGGCTTACATTATTTTAATTTTCCAGATTCCGGGTACAATATCAGATCTGAGGACAGAAGCCTGCGCTCAGTTATAGCAACTGCCTCCGAATTCCTGCCGATGTCTAGCGCGGGACGACAAGATTATTCGTGTCAAGTGCAACATAACCATGAGAACTTATTTTTCCTTCCAGCATTTATTGATAGGTTACCACACTTATCGTTATACTGATAGTAACCCTACAGAGCTGCTTCCTACTGTTTACAGTAAGTGACACTTGCCTCAAGCATTTTATCACAACTTTATTGTTGTTAAAATTGCATTGCTGTAAATTGCAAGGCTTGCTGGGGTCACTACGGTGATTCAACAGTCTTTGTAAAGAGTTTAAAGCGTTCAAGTTTGAGCTGTGTCAAAGTGTGTGTGTTGAGCGATTTAATGTGTAGCGCCCTACCATTACTCACACTTCCCTTGTTTGTGAAACCTTATTTATTTTTTAGCTTGTCCTAAAGAATGGATAGGGTCATCCAATTCCTAGAATTTTTTCGGGATAAATCTAACACACTACCTATAATTAAGCCGGCAGCTTTTACCTCTAGAAGCGATTTGCTAGACACTATTATTGCTATAACAGGAACTGTCATTGTTGCTATAATCCACTCCCCTTTTGTTCCTTGCTATAATCCATTCATTCCCCGTGATAGCAGATATAATCCACCCAGTCCCTGTAATCCATTCAATCCCAGAGATTTTTGCTATATCCCACACCCTTTTCTGTGATTATGTTTCTAAGGGAATTGAGAATTATTTTATCCGTTTGTAAAAAGTAGTCATACACAACACTTATTCGTATGTCCTAAGCATGACCTTACATGAGCCATACAACATCTTCTCCACAATGAATTCTGAAACTGTCATGACGTCCCAAATGTAGACCAATCGCTACTGTCTCTGAAATCAGCGTGCATTGGGTCCTTGTTTTTGTCAATTTGATAAAAGTAAAAGTTAGTTGTGCCGTGTTCCGCTCGTTTTTTGGGAAAACAGGCTCTAGTGTCCGTGAACCAGTTTATACCACGTGTCTATCCTGTTAGCTTCTGGCACGTCACCGTGCTCTCCTCTGACGTCTCTCCACCGTCGGTGACTTGTGTTTCTGTGTATGACTTGGCTGCCTCGGCTTTTTGCCATCAGTGACCAAGTCTCTCATTGTACCAATCTATATGGGTTTTCTGCGCTTCAAACTTCAAGATCACTAGAGCAAATCTTGAATAGAAGAAAATAATGACTTCTAGTACCACTATTTCTCACGCTTGTGACGTAGTGTGCACACTTTCCCGTGCCCTGTGTATAAATCCTCTAGATCCACGTCGTTAGTCGACGCTGAGAGAACCTCGTTTTGTGACATTCAACTCAGTATAAGTTGAGCCCCCCCCCCGGGTCCCTTGTAATCCTTTCTCTCAGGTTTGCCGAGACGTGGTAAACATCTTTACTGGGGGTTCTGCAAACCCATTAAGTGTTTCTGAGGCAGCCCCTTTCTGAACATATTCAGGGCTGCATTAAGTGTTTCTGTGGCATGCCCCTTTCTGAACATATTCAGAGCTGCATTAAGTGTTTCTGAGGCATGCCCCTTTCTGAACATATTCAGAGCTGCATTAAGTGTTTCTGTGGCATGCCCCTTTCTGAACATATTCAGAGCTGCATTAAGTGTTTCTGAGGCATGCCCCTTTCTGAACATATTCAGAGCTGCATTAAGTGTTTCTGTTATTCAGAGCTGCATTAAGTGTTTCTGAGGCATGCCCCTTTCTGAACATATTCAGAGCTGCATTAAGTGTTTCTGTGGCATGCCCCTTTCTGAACATATTCAGAGCTGCATTAAGTGTTTCTGAGGCTGCCCCTTTCTGAACATATTCAGAGCTGCATTAAGTGTTTCTGTGTCATGCCCCTTTCTGAACATATTCAGAGCTGCATTAAGTGTTTCTGTGGCATGCCCCTTTCTGAACATATTCAGAGCTGCATTAAGTGTTTCTGATGCAGCCCCTTTCTGAACATATTCAGAGCTGCATTAAGTGTTTCTGTGGCATGCCCCTTTCTGAACATATTCAGAGCTGCATTAAGTGTTTCTGTGGCAGCCCCTTTCTGAACATATTCAGAGCTGCATTAAGTGTTTCTGTGGCAGCCCCTTTCTGAACATATTCAGAGCTGCATTAAGTGTTTCTGAGGCTGCCCCTTTCTGAACATATTCAGAGCTGCATTAAGTGTTTCTGTGGCATGCCCCTTTCTGAACATATTTAGAGCTGCATTAAGTGTTTCTGAGGCTGCCCCTTTCTGAACATATTCAGAGCTGCATTAAGTGTTTCTGAGGCAGCCCCTTTCTGAACATATTCAGAGCTGCATTAAGTGTTTCTGTGGCATGCCCCTTTCTGAACATATTCAGAGCTGCATTAAGTGTTTCTGAGGCAGCCCCTTTCTGAACATATTCAGAGCTGCATTAAGTGTTTCTGAGGCATGCCCCTTTCTGAACATATTCAGAGCTGCATTAAGTGTTTCTGTGGCATGCCCCTTTCTGAACATATTCAGAGCTGCATTAAGTGTTTCTGTGGCATGCCCCTTTCTGAACATATTCAGAGCTGTATTAAGTGTTTCTGAGGCAGCCCCTTTCAGAACATATTCAGAGTTGCATTTTGTTACTGTTGTGTCATTCAAAGCTAAAATATGTTGTTGAGGTAGGTACCGTACATATAGGGTTAACTTGTGATGTAGGTCATTTGAGTAGTTGGACTATCCTTTCAAGCTAGAAAATCTAATGCATAACGATGACCTCTTAAGTTTATTGCCAGACACACCGTTTTTTCAGATTAATGTTACTTTCCAATTTGGTCCAAGAACCCTCTTTTCGGTTAAGACAGCTCCCATATGGCTACTCATTACAAGTATCACTTAATTCAACGGCAATAATAAATATGAATTTTGCTTACATATATGTTTTGATCGTAAAAATAATATTAAATTCCTGATACTATTTTAAGGAGACACCTTATGCGGAAAGAGGAAGTGGTCATGTTCAGTAAATCAAGGTAAGGAAGGAATTTTTAAAATTAGCTTAATAAAAGACTATTGTTTCCCGAAATGTTCATGGTTGGGGGTGGGGGGTGGGTGGGATGATTGGAAAGCCAGCCGTAAAAAAAATAATAATTTAATTTTCAAGTTTAAAGTTACACAAATACAATGTATTCTTTTTGTCATTTAATTTCTGAATAAATACTGGTTTTTTGTTGAGTGACAAGATAAACAAGCAATACGATGTTGTTCTTTCGGTGGAAAAGTGGCTTAGAGTCTAATTAAATTCTAATACTGAAACATAGCACACTGCAATAGCGCCACTGAAAAGAATGATGAACCCCCTTGGAAGACAGAGAAGGGGGCGACCATGCAGATCAGTGTGCATCAAGACAGGTTGCCATCATGGAGGATTGCACCAGATCAAGCTGCGGACAGAGCGTTTTGCATCAAGACAAGCTGCTATCATGGCTTTTTTGCACCAGATCAAGATGCGAACAGACCAGTTTGCAACAAGTCATTATGCCAACAGATGCCATTTCCAACAGTTCCGGATGTCACAAGGTGGGGAAGGCTCCAATTATAACCATTGTGAATGCTGTAGAGGTGATACAAAAACTAGTGACTGCTTTGCAATGCCGTTGGATTATTGTCATAAAGTAACTCATGTTTAATTTCTATCCCTGAAATTTGATTAAATTACAAAGATCCATCTCATACGGAAAATATTTTTTTTACAGATTTGAGTGACTTAAAGAACATACCTAAAAAAAAATACTTAAAAAATGCCTAATTTAAATTCTATCATTAGAAATCCTTTCTAAATATTGTTTTCAATGCTTTTTACAGGATCCAGTCTACTTGGAGGCGGCTATGTGATGTCTGGTAAGTTATACATAAATTATCTATTCTAATCGGGAGGTCGCTGTGTCTGGTAAGTTTTACATACATGATCAAGTCTACTAAAAGGAGGCTATACTATGTATGGTAAACTATACATAAAATTTATCTAGTCCACTAGTAGGAGGCTATGCTGTGTCTTGCACTTTATAATTAATTTATCTAGTCGTCTACATGGAGGTGGCTATGCTCTGTCTTGTAATTTATACATAAATTATCTAGTCTACTTGGAGGTGGTTATGCTATGTCTCGTAATTTATACCTAAATTATCTGGAATAATTGGATACGGATATGGGATCCTGGTAAGTTAAACTAAATTATCTAGTATACTTGTAGTCAGCTATGATCTTTCTGGTAAGTTATACATAAATCATTAAGTCTACGTGGAGAATGCTATGCTATTCCTGGTAAGTTATATATAAATAATCTAGTCTAATCGGGAGGCTATGCCATCTGCTAAAGTTATACATAAATTATATAGTCTACTTTGAGACGGATATGTTACGTCTAGTAAGTTATACATAAATACTCATCATTCTGACCAGTTTTATTGCACTTGTCGGCAGCGACTAAAACTACTGAGGGGGGGGGGAGGGAGTGACGTGGAATAATGGTGTTGGAAAGTGCAACAGCAACGGCTTACTGATACTTAAGACATGTGCTGAATATTGCCTTCTAATCACAAATAACCCTGTCATGCTCTCTACGCGTAACAGGACCACCTGGATGCACTTCCGTTCAAAACACGGGCACTGAATAGATTATGTCATCATCAGAAACAGGAACTGCAGGGTGTGAGGGTGACTAAGGCCATTTGCGGAACAGAATGCTGGACGGACCCCCACCTCATCGTCTAAAACATGAGAATCCACCTCCCATCTAAAGGACGACCTCAGGCCACCAAAGCTGCAAAACGCGTCACCATCAGTAGGCTGAAAATCTCTGAAGTGAGACAAACCTTTTTGACACTCTGAATGAACGCCTTGATACCATCACACTGGAAAAACAGGACGAGGAAACAGTGTGGACCACACTTCGTAAGTCGGTGTATAGCACAGCAGCTGAGCGCCTCGGACCCTCTACCAGGAAACAGCAAACACAAGGAATTCGTTTGATGAAAATAACTCAGCGATCCAAACGCTACTTGAGCAAAAACGTCGGTTGTACAATGCCCTCCTTTGGTGACCCAATTTCCACAGCGAAATCAGCTTGCTTCAGTGAGGGAGGATTATCCGCAGCAAGATCCGGTTGTAAATGCACCCGATGTGAGACTCTTTGCAGAGTGTGAAAGCTGACGAGATTAAAAAAAAAAAAACCTCGCTCCGACATGATTCCTGCCGAAATATAGAAAAAAAGGTGGATAAGGGCTAACAGATAAGCTATTGCACTATTCCAGATCATCTGGCAGACGGAAACTTTACCACATGACTTCAAAGATGTCTGAATTATCCACATGTAAAAACAGAAAGGAAATCGCAAGGCTTGCGACATTCCCACATTCACTGCTGTCCATCGTGTGCAAGATCTTGGCCCAAGCCCTTCTGAAAGGCTTGAATCTGGAGCTAGGTCTCCTAACCGAAATTCAATGCGGCTTCCGCAAAGAATGCTGAACTATCTATATTGATTTTGCTACCAGGAAGTTCTAAGAAAATGCTTTGAGATAAATACGAACCTAAATACCAATCGAAATAGATTAAGAGTGATTGACATTTGCGGTCTCGATCTAAATGAACCAACCAGAAAATATTTCCTTTAGAGGATTGCGTTTTTAATACATAAATGCCCACGTGCCTGCCTAAGAACTTTTCTGATACTTTAGAAACAAAGCGGAAGACCATATTCTGTATATTTATTTGTGTTAACGTGCTAAGCAGTTGAGTAGATTTCGTTACTCAGGTGATATTTTGATTGCCCCCCCCACCCCCGCAATGGACCACTCTACCCTTTGGAGCTTGAAACTACGTTTTTGAGAGGTAAAAACTGCTATGACACTAACTCAGCGTTAACCAGGTCTGATGTAGTGATAATGTAGAAATGTTAATACTTGAATACCCGTTTTACACTCTCTTGACTTTGACTGGAAAACTTCTGATACACATCTCGACTTCTACTTTCTACACTGTCTTGGCTTTGACTAGAAAATTTCTGATAGACATCTGTTTATAAAAAGTCCTTTTAACTTTTACGTTATTATAACCATTTCCGATGTCCAGTCAGGCTTTCGATACAATGCCTAGGCAGTTGGTCTTAATGTCTCGTGTAATTCACACCATGGATGGCAACTAATCTAAGAGAAGGCAAACTCTTTAATCGAAATCAGGTGCTAGAGTCCAGCAGGCCGTTAGCTCAATGAAAATCCCGGCAACTTCTGAAAAGTAGAACGAATAAAGTGCGCATTGAAACACAAGAAACACTACTCGTCATCTACTGCATCCTGTACTACTCTAGTCATCTTGACTTAAATTAAGCCATTGGAACAAATAGTCTAGAAGGACAGCGTGAGATTGACAAATTGAGCAGCTCACCATCTCTTAACTAAATACAGCTGAATTTGAAGCATTGGTTATCTTCGAATTCCAAGAACGAACTATATTTATGTATATTTCATAACTTGACCGGCATTACCAGACACTCTATAGAATGCCTAAGCAACATGTTTACTTTCTATTATACTTTACACCTTGATTAGTATGACCAGACATTGTATAGAATGCCTATTTTACAAGCTTCCCTGCAATATGTACATTGGCAAAATGTTTGCCTGTGGCAATAGACACTTTCTCAACCCAAGGGACAATACAATAGATTCCCGGTTTCAAAAGAATATAAAATGTTTTGCTTCTTAATGTTCATTAAACTCTCTTATTTTTATACAAACATATTCAACCGTTTCCTAATTCCGCAGGTATCGCCATCATCTGCACTGCTTTGTTCTTCACGGTCTCTTCGCTGTTTCCCTATGGCCAATGACATCAACCACATCGGATGAAGCCTTGAAACTAAACGCTTAAAACATCAACAACAACAAAAAAAAAAAAAAAAAAAAAAAAAAAAAAAAAAAAAAAAAAAAAAAAAAAAAAAAAAAAAAAAATTTTTTTTTTTTTTTTTTTTTTTTTTTTTTTTTTTTTTTTTTAAAAAAAAAAAAAAAAAAATTCGCTTTACGAAAAATTTAAAGTATTCATCATTAGCATATGCAAAGAAAATATAAAAAAAATAAAAGTTATTGAAACTCTTATTAAAACGATGTATAATAACATTTATACAATTGCATCGAGGAGAATACGTTCAAATTAAAAAATAGTATGGCAATAACATTTTAAAAACAAGAATAATATAAATTAGCCATAAACAGAAGTGTAATATTTCAATTAATAAAATCAGTTTAAATGCATGTTTGTGTCTTGAGTTTTCATATTTTATACAGAGCTTTGTTGAACTCAATTTGTTTTTGTGTGGTTTTGTTTGTAAATGGATCCATAAAAAAAGTAGATTGCATCACAACCAAACTTGACATTGTAATTTCTTCTCCTGACCTACAGATGTTTCCCTTGAGAGTTTGACCATAATCGCCTTATCCCAAAATTTGTAATGTGAGAAAGAATGCTAAATGTAGAGTGTAAAGAGTAAAAAGTGAATATTATTTTAAAATGACAATAAGGGGGCGTTTAGGCTACGTTTTTTTTAGTGTACGCCGACTTCAATGCAATAGTGGTAAGTGATCACATGGCCTTGTCAACATGCCTCGCTCATTTCGGAAGAGGCAGGCTAAATGAAAATGGGTAGAGATTACTGAAACTGTGCTGCCCACATGGACTATGTGTAACAAATACCTACTTCAACTGTAAGGCTATCCAGCAAGTGTCATTATGGCACCACTGCTCTCAACATTGGCACCTATGAGATCTCATAATCACAAGACGCACACAACTGGCCAGTGTCCTCCTCACACGCAGCTACCACACCGCAGACTGCGACACAGATCATTCCTTATCTCCTAGCAAGATAAGGTTACTGCCAAAGATACTGCATCACTCAAAAGACAAGGGCACAACACGCATAATCATCTGCTCCACCAAAAAACCTAGAGAGAACAGAACAATACACACATAGACCATAAGAAGCTGTTGTACAGACACCACCAATGGACACTGTTGAATCCAAATGATAACATCTGCGGGACAATATCTATAGCTAAGCTATCACGGCATTTGGCAAGAGAGAACGCTAAAGTGCTGATTGGTTCAAAATTGCAGGAAATGAAACATGTCATCGATGCAAAAAGAAAGGCCCTATTTGCTTATAAAGACAGGCCTTGCTCAGCAAATCTACAATCGCTTAAAAGCGCCAAGACAAATGTCCAGCAGGCAGCTCGCCACTACGCTAACACATACTGGCTCAATCTAAGCTCCAGCATACAATCAGCTGCTGATAGAGGTGATGCAAAGTCAATGTACGAGAATATAAAGCAAGCAACAGGCCCTCTGATATCCAAGACTGCGCCCTTAATGTCCAAATCAGGGGATCTTATTACTGATTGGGATAAACAACTCGAGCACTATTTTGAACTATATGCAACAAAAAAACCATGTCTCAAACGCTGCCCTGGACGATATCCCAGACCTACCGGTCATGAAGGTGCTTGATACCCCACCCACCGTAGAAGAGCTACGTAGTTCCATCGATTGTATCACCTGTGGGAAAGCCCCTGGCAATAATGGAAACCCATCAGAAGACCTCAAATGAGGAAAAGAATACTATTACGGCCCTTGCACGATCTCCTTACACTTTCAACAGAAGCGGCCTTTTCCAGATCCTAAAACAATTGACTGCCCTAAACGTCTGCTTAACATCATCATTCAGTTTCACGAAAACATGCAGTGCACAGTGTTCTATAACGGGCCACCTCAGAAGCTTTTTCCCGTAGGTAGTGGTGTAAAGCACGGCTGAGTGCTGGCTCCTACTTTATTTATCCGACAAATTAATATTTATTTTTACTTAAGTGGAGATTTCTTTTTACGTGTTGTTTAATTTCAATGTTAATTCAAAAGTTGTAGAAATTGTTGTATTTCCAAATGCCATGGAGCGCTGGGTATATTGTCTAGTCATATTAACATTACATTATATAAGTAAAACTTTGTGGATTTGTTCCACAAAGACTTTTACATGGATTGATAGATCTTGACCAAACTTAGCACATATATGCATCATTATCCGGAAAAGCTCTTAAGGCGTAATAAACTTTTTATAACAATTCTTTTGGGGCCGGGGGCCCCGAATTTTTTGTTTTTCTTCTATTTTAAGCTATACAAATAAAATGACCAACAAATACTCATATACGAATAGATGGATCTTGACCAAATTTAGTTCACATGCACTTCAAATACAAAAGGATATTGAACTCATAATATCCATTCCTCTTTTGCGGGGGCCCCGTTTCATTTTTCCTTGTATACGCGGTATAAATATCAATGGACTTAGAAAACTCCATAAGTTCTATGTGAATTAATGTCTAGCGTGGTAGCACCACTTCATCGCCCATACGGAAATATCGGTGGATTTAAATCTAATAATATCCAATCTAGAATTTTCCAGAAAGTTCAACAACTTTAAAAGGCTACATTTTTGGCATTATTCAATAGATTTTATTGGGATCAATTTTAAATTGAAACACCACACTTTATCTGAATGATTTTATTTGGGCCCCCAACAATCCGATGGAAGATACTCCATTTCGCCCCAGGTGGCACAAGACATGTCTCAAAATAATTAACCTTCTCAGGTGCATGCATAATCGGGAGTAGGAAAAAGGATGTGTACATTTTTACGTGGATGACAGTATTTTAAAATCCTGTGGTATTACATTTGTAAAAAAGAGATGTTACATTCTCTTTTTACAAATAAACATGTGTTTACTAATTTTTAAGAAAAGCAATGGCATTAACAAAACGTTAGTACATTTACTAATACTAATAAGAAATATCTTTCTGTCTTTACTTTGCGAAAAGTAAAGTGGGTGTGTGCATGTTTGTGAGATTATCAACGTAAAAAAAGTATGTTCTGGTTCTGGTTCTGGTAATGTTTCGTTGCTGCATCCATATACTGGCATTTTTGCAACGGTTGGGGGTATGATGTTGCTTTCTAACAGCTCCTAGCTGATGCCAGGGCAGCCTTGAAACTTTCGACCGATGTCGGGTTCACAGTGGCATCGTTCAGGTGGTTCCATGCTATTATTGTGCGTGGGAAGAAAGATTGTTGATACTGCACTGTGTTGCAATGAGACAATTTGAAACATTTGCGATTGTTTCTGGTGTAATTGTTTATGCGAATGTCAGTGGTGAAGTCAGTGTTCAGTGAGCGTTTTGCTCTGATCAGTCTACCCGGCTTCTGTGGGGTGAGGTACGTGCCTGCTGGGATGGCCGGCACCCGTCCCATGATCACGTTATATAAGAATGTCAGGCGGAGTTACAGACTTGGAAAACTGTTGCGAGATTCTTCTGAACACAAAAGATTACTTTGTTTTCCGATTTTCCGATAATGACTAATTAAAAAATTGTTTGCAAAATTGTGTTTAAATTTCTAATGGTGATATCAATTTATCAAATTCCGTTAATTTAAAATAAACTTATATCTGTTAAGGACTTGAATGTAGATGTTGTTATTAAAGGTTTAATGTTTAAAGTCCCTAAAAACCCATCTGTTTAGGTCCGCCCATGACCTGTGATGCACCCTCCTTGCCCTTCCTCATTTTCTGTCTCGGGTTGATCCTGTAGTATAGGCCAAAACGTGCCAAAGTGTATTCGTTTTATAGCCATTTTAATTGTTTCTATAGTATAGTAGTTACTATCCTAATTTCTCATGTTTATTTTACTTAGTTTACATGTTTTTAATAATTGTAAAGCGCTTAGAGCTTTAAGGTAAGCGCTATATAAAAATGCCTCAATAAATAAATAAATAATGTTTTGTGACCTATTGCGCGAAAGGGGATGTGACGTAGATTAGTGTGTCGTGGTCTTGTGAGCAATGGCAGTTGAAGATGTAGCTTAGTTCGTTTTTAATATATTTAATATGAGAATAATGGTTTGTGAAGCGTATATATAATTAAAGCCCTAGACAACGAAGCCAACGAAACTTCGGGTAGAACCAGGTTTGTAACAATATCATATATAGAGTTTTTATTATCAATTTATGTAGAAAAAAATGTAGTTCAAGGGAACAAAAAGGGGTTGGGTAGACTCACTAGACTCACTATATAACAAGTTAAAAACACATGAAATATCAATTATTTCTCCATTGTAAAAATCGTCTCTCAATGAACTTCTTTAGTGACAAAAACAATTTAATTAGTGATATTTAAGAGTTGTTAATTTAAGGTAATGTTTAGAGAAACAAAATCTAGTTTAGGAGCGTAAAAGGGGGGTAGGGTAGGGTAAATAAATACTTCTAAAAACTTACTGATATTAGAAATGTAAATATCATTACATAGATACTTCTTTTTAAAGTTTGAAATTGTGATGAGTTTTTGCAAAAGCAGGTATAAATTATCGCAAAGGACCAAGCATTATTATCCCGATAACATCTGGTCATATATTCTAGTATGTATATATATAAATATATCGGATAGTGTATATACATATATATATATATATATATATATATATAATAGCCGATATACCAGGCGTGGCTCGGGATCGCATTAGGACCCCGATCCTGGTGTCACCCCATTCCCAGTGGGAGCCGATCCCATTCTGACACTGACCAATATATATATATATATATATATATATATAATAGCCGATATACCAGGCGTGGCTCGGGATCGCATTAGGACCCCGATCCTGGTGTCACCCCATTCCCAGTGGGAGCCGATCCCATTCTGACACTGACCTCGGCGCAGTCCCATTTCCTAGTGTGATCCCAATTTCGGTGGATCCATTCAAGTTTAACATCCCGATCCCGGCGGGATCTCGTTTTCAGGTGGAATACTGACCACGTTGGAATAAACATTATGATG